TCCCCACTGAATATCCTTGACACCTTTGTCAGACATCGATTGACTGTATATGTGTGGGTCTATTTCTAAACTCTACGTTGTCTTATATATATCTTTACAAAAATACCACACTGTCTTGAGAACTGTAAGTTTATAAGTCTTGAAATTAAGTAGTGTAAGTCTTTTTCCTTTTTAAAAATAGTTTTTGCCATTCTAGGTCCATTTTATTTCCATATGAATTTTATAATCAGCTTGTCGATTTCTAATTCTTAAATTTCTTCATTTATTTTGATCAGTGTTGCTTGTAATACTTTTTTTTAGGGAACCTACTGAGGTTGTTTCATTCACGCCCTAGTATATGTTCATTTTTTGCGAATATTCCATATGCACTCCAGAAGAAGTATGTTCTGTATGATCCGGGTGCAGTGTCCCCACCTCCTCTCTCTATATATACATACACACATACATATATATGTATATATATACATATATATATAGTATAGATAGATCTGTATTTTTAAAATTATCTTTATTAAGATATAAATTGCATACAATTATTTATAACTATCTCTATCTCTCTGTCTATCTATCTATATCTATATATCCATCCAAAGGTCCACATTATTGATTATGTTGTTTAGGTCTCTTATATCATTACTTATTTTTTTGTCCACTTAATTTGTCTAATTTTGTGGGTGGTATGTTAAAAGTCTCCCATTAGAGAATGTTTCTATTTCTTCTTGCATTCCTGTAGGTTTTGGTTCATATAGGCTTTTGCTGTGTTACTTTGTGCACAGTATTCACAAATGTCCTTATTGTTGTATCTTCGTTGTGGATGGGGCTTTTAACATTACAAAGTATCCTATTTTGTCTCATGTAATTGCTTTTGGATTTTACTTTGTCTGGTATCAGTATTTTAATCCCAGCTTTTATATTGTTTTCATTTGGTAAACCTTTGTCCATTTATTTAATTTTAGCCTTTTAAAATGACTGCGTTTTAAGCATGTCTCTTGTATACAGCATTGTGTTAGGTTCTACTTTATGAGGCAATGTGAAAACCCTTTTCTTTTAATAGATGAAGTAAACTGTACTCATTTATTTGTACTACTGTTTGGTAATATAAATGATACAAATATGTTTGGTCTCAATTCTCTCATTTTAAATTATGTTGTAATTACTATGTATATTTGTTATATTTACTGTGTTTCTTTCTCTATTGAGTGTTTCCTTTAAATTTTTTTGGTAATTAGGAAGGTTTATATTTTTATGCTGGGGGTTGCCTTTATGTTAATACTTCTTATAGTACCCTTAGTTAACCCTTTTTTCTTTCTTTTTTATTTACTTATTTATAAAAATTTATTTTACCAGTTGCGTTTTTTCTCAAAACTGAGGAATGAACAAAAAAGGTGGGAGTGTAACAGAGTGAATTGCTGGGTCTCTCTTTTACTCCATCTTGTTCAAGTCTGGTTTGTTCCCATGGCCTATAGGCTAATAGCTTCTGCTTAGTCTTGCATATAGACATGCCATTCATTAGAGGAATTCTGCTTGAGCTTGAGTTTTACAAAAACAGCTCCTCCCATTTCCCCTTCTCTTAACATAAAGGAAAGCTGAAACCTGTTCTTTCTAAAGATGGATTTGAGGTACCATTAAGGCACCCATCTTCTCAGGTGGCACCTCTTCAATCAATAAACTTTGACTTACTCCAAAAACATGTATATATTTAAGATATACAACATGATGATTTGATATGTATATACATAGTGAAAAGACTAGTATAGTCAAGCTAATTAACATATCTCCTCACATAGTTATCTTTGTTTGTGTGATGAGTGCACCTGAAATCTACTTCCAGCATATTTCCTTTGTTCAATACAGTATTAAGTATAGTCATCATGCCTGCACATTAGATCTCTAGACTTATTAATCCTACATGACTGTAACTTTGTCCTCTTTGACCAACATCTCCCCATTTCCCCCACACCTGGTATTCACCATTACCCTGTGCTTCTATAAGTTTGACTTTTTTGTTTGGATTCCACATATAAGTGAGATCGTACAGTATTTATCTTTCTCTGATTTATTTCACTTGCCATAATGCCCTCAGGGTCCATCCATGTTGTTGCAAATGGCGGAATTTCTTTCTTTCTCATAGCTGAATAATATTCCATGTACACATACCACATCTTTTTTATTCATTTATCTGTCAATGGACAATTAGATTGTTTCCATGTCTTGGCTGTTGTAAATAACGCTCCATTGAACATGGGAGTGCAGATATCTCTTCAGTATAGTGATTTCATTTCCTTTGGACGTACCCAGACGTAGGTTTGCTAGATTATTTGGTAGTTCTATTTTTAATTTTTTGAGGAATCTCCATATTGTTTTCCATAATGGTTGTACAACTGACTTTTTCCTTATTACTCTTTTACCATCTAATATGTCTCTCACCTATTACTTATCCAGCAGTTAATGATCTTATTCAGCTTTCCCCTTTTTCTTTCTCTTCTCCTGTTTTTTAGTTGCAGTTTTTCTACTTTGTCAGAACCCTTAATGTTTATCCTTCAGCTCATGACCCCAGTCTTGTTTTAGTTTTAGCTCTATAGTTAAATACATGAAATGCTCACTGTCAACCCTCTTGCCAAAATTTTCCCATTCATTATTTTTGGTTGGGCGAAGGTCATTGTTTAGCATTGTGTCGTCCAATAGAGCTTCTTGCAATGATGGGAATGTTCTGTATCTATAATGTGTAGTATTATAACTAGCTACATTTGGTTATTGAACAATGGAAATGTGCCTAGTCTGACTGAGGAACTGAATTTTAAATTTTATACCATTTTAAGTCATCAAAATGTAAATTTAAATGGCTACATGTGGCTAATAGCTACCGTATTGGACAACGCAACTCTAATAAATTCCTTAGGAAGGCCATATGTGTTCTAGCACATTCCAGACTGATTTTTCTAAAGGCCTTGATACTTAAAAGATATCTTGGCTGGGTATAATTTCCTTTGCTCATACTTTCTTTCCTTAAGTTTCTTGAAGCTGTTCTACTGTTGCTTTACTTCGTAAGTTGTTTTTGAGAAATTGATGCCATCCTAATTCTTTTGCCTTGTAATTTATTTTATTCTTTTGCCTGGAGGCCCTGAGGAATTTTTTTCTTTGTCTTTAAATTCTAGTAGTTTTATTAGGATGTATCTCAGAGTTGATTGTTGTAGGTCGGTTTTCCTTGGTACCCAGTGGGTCCTTTAATTGTGTCGAGGTTTGTTTTATGATCCAGGATACGGTCTAGCTTGGTGAATATTCCACGTGTACTCGAAGAAACTGTTAACCTCTCTATTTTGAGTGGAAAGTTCTGTTAAGTCAGTTGGTTGATTGGTGATGTTCAGTTTTTATATATTGTTTTTTGTCTACCAGTTACTTTTATTACTAAGAGGTGCTGAAAGTTGGCAGTCATAATTGTAAATTTGCCCATTTCTCCTTTCAGTTCTTTCAATTTTGCTTCACATATTTCAAAGCTATATTATTAGGCCAATTTTTCCCACACTCCCGCTCCAAGGGATCCCCCTTCTTGGTCCTCTGGCTGGACAGTTGAGACTTTAGTCTCTCCACTCTTGCACTCACTTTCTGTAACCAGGTTTGCCTTTGGGGCTGAATGGTGGGAGGTTAGAAAGAAAGCTATGGGAATCCTTCTCACTCTCTTCAGATCACTATTTCTTTGGCCAAAGAAAAGGATTCTTCTTCTTTAGAATTTGAGGTGCTTCCTGCTGCATGGTTGCAGCTTTCACACTGGAGCTTACTTTGGGGCAGGCATGAGATTAAAAGAATTTCTCCCATTTTCTCTGCCCCACAGCCCCCCCTTCAATTTTTATGTCATATTGTTGTCTCTACTGTCTCTGTACTTCCTGTTTCTCTCAAGCTCTGTTCTCTGTTAGCCATCCCATTTATTCTTGTGGCTTCATTTAGCACTGAAAAGCTATTGCTTCCCAATCCGTGGTCTATCCTAGCCTTCTCTCTTGAACTCCAGAATCACCTGCCAGCTGAACATCTGTATTAGTATGTGCCATAAACACTTCATCTTGGGCCCAAGATCTTTCTCAGTTTCCCCTTCTGCCAACCCATTGTCTCTCATGTTTTGCTAATTTCAATATATGGCACCAGTCTTAACCCAGCTGCTCATATTGTTATACTAGGAGTAATATTCTCTCCCTTTCTCCCACTTGATAGTACTTCTGTATGATTTATAAATATGGATATATTGTGGGAAGGTTAGAAAATATTCTGATTGTGTAAGGAGTCAAGTATTTTGGAGACTGAAGAGCTACAGGAAAAAAAGTTGAAAATTTCTCCACTGTCTGGTCCTTGAATGTCTCTATAGCTCTTTATCTCATCATAGCACTATTTTCCTGTCATACTGTGCCATGAAGCACTATTTTCCTGTCATACTGTGCCATATGTAGTTCTATAACTCATCATGTGTGTTTTGTGTCTTTTTGCTGTTTTTTATGCTATGGCCCAATATTCATGAGGGAAATGATATTCTTGTTTATGCATGCAAAGCGCTACCTCCCCAAGTGAAGTTCAATTGATGACGCAAAGTGGAATCTGATTCCCTCCCTTGTGAAAGCCCATTGCACTCTGTACACATGTTCAGCATAGCTCTTGTAACACTTCGTTGCAGGGATGTGTTTATATACAGGTATCTTTGCTGGGATATGAGCTCCTTGAGAGCAGGCACTCTGTCTTCTTCTTATTTCTCCAGCCACTGGGACAGGTCCAAACACATAGTGTTAACTCAGTAGTAAGTAGTCTTTTCTTCATGAATTGATAAAGTAAGACAGAGCAGGGCTGTTCTGGGCCCCCGCCCCCCGCTGCCACAACAAAGTATAATATCAAGCAAGACAGAGTCAGGTGTCCAGTGTAGTTCTTCTTGTCAATTCTCAATAGTTATCTATTGAGAGAATTAGTTTGCATGCATCTTTCCTATGTATCCCATTCTGATCATTGAAGATTGTTTGTTACAGGAATCTGTGTCATTTGAGGACGTGGCTGTGGATTTTACCCGACAAGAGTGGTACAGACTGGACTCTGCTCAGAGGACCATGCACAAGGATGTAATGCTGGAGAACTACAGTAACTTGGCGTCCGTGGGTGAGGATTATTGTTCATGTAACTCCTGGTAGCATGTGTTTCTTTTCTTGATTGCTGTAACATGTATAGCTTTTGTAGAGTTTAATGATACCTTAGTTTTAGATTCAAGGGTCACGGATGATTATTCAGTTTGGGGCACCAGGAAGAGTGTGTTTGTTCTCACTTCCCCCGATGAAAGGTTTAAATGGGCCCCCTTCCTTGTGCAGCTCATGAAGATGCACTTTTCTTCTCCATCAGAGGCCCTAAAGTTCAGACAACTTGGCCCATGTCCTGTGCCATTTCCCATTAACAGGCCTCTGCGTGGCCAAACCAGAGATGATCTTCAAGTTGGAGCGAGGAGAAGAGCTATGGGTGTTAGAGGAGGAATCCTCAGGCCATGGTTACCCAGGTGAGTGAGCAGGAACTGGGCATATGAAAACAGGGACAATAAGAGCCCAGGAATTCAGATCTAAGGTTATCTCTGGGCAGTGTTTTTCAGAAATCTTTTTTAGAGGCCCTTGCTCTTTGAAAATGACTGGAGGATAGAGGGTCTGTATACTTCAGATGTCTAAATCACACACCCCAATTTCATGCTCACAGCTAAGTGCTCTCTCCTATTTTATAGTGATTTTTGTGATTATTTATCACTCTTATCTATCCCTGCCTGCTTCATCTTAGACATTTATTTTTAGCTACTCTCTCTCTCTCTTTAGTATTCTCAATTGCCTTCCTTCTCTCCATTGTCTTGGACACCTTCTGCTGCCAGGCATTCATTTACATATTCATTTAGTGATCCACCAAATCTTAAATGAGAGTCAACTATATGCTGGTCATGTTCTAGATATGGGGAGCGAGCAGTGAATAAACTAATATCTCTGTTCTCATGGAGCTTACAA